CGATCTTCCTTTGGAGAAAAGCACTCTAGATGTGGAGGGTTTTTTCCCACCACCCTGGAGCGCCATGAGGAGGAGGGAGGGAAGGGGGTTTCCAGCAGGCGGCCGCTGGGACGCAGTCTGCCCCAGGTGTGGGCTGTGAGGTCACCTGTCAGCAGGACGCTGCCTGCCCGCCCTCACCTGCCCTTCCACCTTCCAGGTGCCCTCAGAGGATGCACAGACAGGCCTGCCGGGCACCTCCACCAGGCAGACCCCTCGGGATTCACCTCCCAGTTCCCCTTCGGTCAGCTCTTGATAGGCACTGGACAGGCCCCTGGGGACACAGCGGGCCACTTCCAGCCGGAGGGCACATAATGCTCTCGGTGAAGCCTCTGAACCCTGCGAGGGGGGCTTCCCAGCCTGCCTTACAGACGAAGAACCGAAGACTGGGAGAGGCAAAGTGACCGGCCCGGGGCCCCAGGCCATTCCCGGGTTTGAGTCTGGGCTGGGAAGGGGGGTGCGGGAAGCTGCCACTGCGGGTCTCGTGCCAAGAGCCCCCCAGGCCCCCAGGCCCCTGCCCTGGCTGAGCGCTTGGCTGGCTCGACTCCCTCCATCATAACAACCGGCGAGGCAGGCCTGTTCCTGTCCTTACTTTGCAGACAAGGAAACCAAGCTCAGAGAGGTGACCTGGCCACGGCCACCCAGGTGGCGAGTGGCAGGTCTGGCCCCAGCCTCCGCCTCCTGAAGAGAAGCCACACTTCCCTAAGAGCCGAGAGGCAGAGGAGGAGAAAACATCCATGGAGCACCCTCTGCGGCTGCACTGTGCAAACGGCCTTTAGCTGGACACGGTCTCAGGGTCTCACTGACCAGGTAGGCGGCCCGTGGTTCTGGATTGTGGACAAGTGTTCCAGATGATTCCGACACCCATTCACGCCTGGGAACTGCTGCTTCACCTCCTTTCTATCAACAGCCCAGGGACCCTCGGCCCAGGGATCTCAGGCCACACGGACAGCACAAAGAGCGCAGGCCTGGGCTTGCGCTCCAGGGCCCTTGGGAAGGTCACTGAGCCCCACGGGGCCTCAGTTTCCTCATTTGTGCCGAAGCAATGCTGTGCTGCAAGGGGGGGCCCCTTGCAGGCATCTGCCCCTCGCTCCTTGCTCCTGGTACCCCTCTCCAGCCCTCGGCTGGCCCAGAGGGGCTCTGAGACCCTCTGCAAGGAGCCCAGACAGCCGCTTTCCCTGGTTCCGCCTGCCCTGAAGCCTGTCTTCCACATTCTCCCTGGATATCCTTCCAGCAAGTTCCTTTTTCTAGACTGAAGTCATCACGATGCGTGAGTGCTCATGTGCCCACAAGGCAGGGCTGCTGTGGGGATGGGTGAGGCTGCAGGCTGGCCCTGGCCCAGAGCCCAGCCCCCAGCTGACCCCAGTGCAGAGCGGGAACCAACCTCAACCCAGGGACCCCAGCACCTTTACAGCCCCAGGCCTCGTGGGCAGACTTAGGAGGAACTGACCCCGGATAAACCTTGGCCACGTGGGGAAGGGAGCCCCACTGGTGGCCAGTGCGAGGCTGGACACTGTGGGCGAGCCCTGCCCTCAGCAGCAGCCTCCACCTTCCGCTGGCATCGCCTCAACCCTTGGCCCCAGGCTGGGGGTGGGGGGTTGCCCTGTTTAGGCTTTGGACTCAGTTTGGGTTTTACCTCAATGCCAGAAGGTCCCAGCTGTTTCCCGGCCAGGTTTAAGCTGGAGGGTCAGCAGGGTCACCAAAAGAACTGGTGAACCCATTTCCAGGGATTTCCAGAGCTCACACTGGGGCATGTCGGTGTGTTCCGGCATGGTGCCCACCCCAGCACGGACTTCACCGACTGTCCTCGGTGGGGAGCCCTTCCCACTTCCCCTGGCCTGGCAGCAACAACGCAGAGGCTCCCTGCGTCCTCGCGTCAAGCCCTGCGCTGGCCCTGTGAGGTGGGGCTCTGACAGCGGATGCCCCCGTCCACAGGTGCGGAACCTGAGGCTCGGATGGAGGACCACCTGCCCCACAGGTGAGGAATGCAGACCACGGACCTGGCTGCACCTGGCTGGGGTTGAGGGCGCTTTCTAACTGGCTGCACCTGAGGCGTTTTCCCAGTCCTGGGTAGGACTGGCCCCACCTCCCTTTCAGAAATTGGGGAATACCTGGCCAGGGTGGGGGCAGAGGGGCCCCCCTCTGCTGCACCCCCCCAAGCAGCTGCGACAGGCTGAGGGGTCAGACAGCAGAGACTTCTCTTCTGCAGCGCTGTGGCCTCCCTGCCACAGCACCACAGAGCAGCAGCCACATTCTTGGTAATTCTTTCTCTTTTATTGCCAAGTTCAAATTTACAAGGAAGTTCCAGTTTTCATTTCCACCCTCATGTTCAGTACCCACGAAGCATGAGTCACGCTGGCAAGAGCAGGTACTTCCCTGGAAGGGTCCCGTGGCCCAGAAGCATGAGGTTTCCCAACCCCCGCTCCTCCTGGGACAGGATTACTGACATAGTTTCATAGCTCAGAAGATAAGGAAACCTTACAGTTTATGCCCAGTGTCAACATAACTGCATTAAATATTTCTTACTTATTGCATCTAGAAAAGAAGATGAGAATCCGTTCACTCCGTGCGTCTTTTAACAGTGCATCTTGAGACCTAGAGAAATCTAGTGTATGTCTTCAAAGAGGTGCACGTCTTCACTCACCTGCTGGGTCGCTGTTAAGCCAGGAGTCCAGGTGGGGAGGCTGCCTTCTGCAGAGAGCAGCGAGCGGGATAGGCTGGATGGGGGGGAAAGGGTAGCAGACAGCCTGCTGGTGGCGGGAGGACCCTCCTCCCACCCCTCCCTGGTTGGGGGCATCTGCCCCACATTCTCGCTGTGGCTTTGGGGCTGGCCCCCTGCTCCTCCCGGGGGGGCTCCTGGCCTCGCCCCAGCTGGCCTTCGGGAAGAGGTGCCCTTGCTCACTGAAGCTCCCAAACTGGAAAGGACATGTGTTTCTCCACAGCAGATTTCAAAGCCGAGGTTTGGGGGGTTAGGTGGCCAACTCTGCCCCTAACTGGGCAAACCCAGCGGGCCCAATGTGGGCTTTGGGAGGGTGGGCCTGGCCCATCTCTCTGTAGGGACACGGAGATGGCAGGCTGGATGGCTTTCGGAGGCTGACCCCAGAGATCTGAGTCTAGGACCACGTGTCAGAGGCCATGGCTCCCGCTCCGGGCTCTTCAAGGGTTCCTGGCTCTTCCTCTCCCGGCCCAACCCCAGAGACCCGGTGCTCTGTCTGGACTGGCCTGCCTGGGGGTGCCGCTGCTGTTACATTGTGTTGCGGGGGGCTCCTGAAGACAGAGCCATGCCCACTGCCACCAAGACGGCCAAGAACTAATGAGGCAGGTCCTTCATCAGAGCCAAGATGGCTGCCCACCTCCTCCAGAACCCAGACCTCCCAGCACAGGACACGTGCCCCTCTTCCTCACCAGCAAGGGGTCTGGGAGCCCCTGCAAAGAAAGTCCCCACCCACACACCTTAAGGCGTCCTGTGAGGCGAGCTGCCAGCAGGCTGTGGGCTCCCCCGGGGAGCCTGGCTGCAGCGAGGCTTCGGGACAAACCCTGAGAGCCCATGCCTGCCCGGGAGAGGTCAGCCCTTGGCCAGGGGCACAGGGCAGAAGCTTGGCCTGACTGGCACCTTTTATTCAATGGCCCACGGAGGCTGGGCTGCGTTCAGCTCCCCTGCCTCGGCAGTGCTGCTGCAGGTTCTCCGGACACGCTGGCCCTCTGCCCAAGACCTTCCTCCTTTAGTGCCTGGTGGCCGCGAAGCCACTTGGAGCCACTGATTTCAAACGGCCGGCTGATGGTCCCTGGGGAGGGCCTGGGTCCACCCGCACAGGCTTACTCCTCACAATAATGCCAGCGGGCTGGGAGGTCAGACTCCTTCTCTCATTTCTGCTGCTCCAGAGTCATTTCAAAACCAGAAGTGCCTGGCTCTGGGGCGGGCCCGCTCCTGTATCCAAGCAGCAGATCACGCAGAACACGGCTAGCTGCCCGGGGCGGGGGGCGCCCTGACCCCGACGACATGCCTTTTCTCCCCACGGCTGTCTTCCCCCTTCTTCCGTCCCCCCTGCCTTTCCTTCCTGGGGGGACTCTGCTGATGGTCACGACTTGTCCCTCCTTGCTGGGGCCCCCAGAATTTCTGCTTAAATGGCCTCCTTTCTGAACTGGGCCTTTTCTCCGTTGAAGCTGGGTGTGCACATCTCCTCGGAGAGCTTCTGATGACCGGAAATACCTGGCACCACTCTGTCTCCTCCAGGGGACCACTGTTTCCTTCGGGAGGCTGACATCTGGCTTCAGTAGATGGTGAGCACTCGGAGCATCTCTGGAGGCCACCCCAATAAGCAGGCCGGCTGACACTGACATTGTGTGTGCTGACATCCTGCTGGACACACATGGAGGAAAGTTGTGGAAGGTCTTAGCACTGATCAGAGAGAGGCGAGGGTCACTTGGCTGTGCCTGGCTAAGTAGAAGGGAACATCGTGGGGGCTTTATTGGATACGTTGGAGAACGGGCCCGCATACACCCAGCCCGAATGCAGAAGAAACTGTGCAGTTTTCATTTTAAAAACAAGCTTGTGTCTTTGCAGCAGCAGCCGAGAGGAAGAGCGACAAACCCCGAGCTCCCAGGAGGACTCCACGAGCTCGGACGTTACATCCTCGCAGGTGGGCGGGAGCGGGCTCTCGGGCAGTCCCTGCACACGGGCACGCACACACAGTCGAGGATGGCTGCCGTGGCCTTTGCTTTCCATCATGGCCACTGGGGTCAGAGCCTCCACGGTCCCAAATAGTTCTTTCTTAGACAAACAGAGATGGCAATGACTGAAGGTGATGCTGGAAAACTGTCCCGTTTGGTTCTAGCCCAGAGAGATGAGGGATGGGTCCTGAGGAGGAGCTGACTGCACCGTCCTCTTTCATGGAAAGACCATTCAGGTCACCCGAGGCCCCTTGGCTGCCACGGCAGAGAAACTGTTGGCCCTCTCAGCTCGATGTGTACCTGAGAATACATGTATCTCCCTTATTTTCGTTTAAAAAATAATCTAAACTTTCCAGGAAGGTACTTTATCATTCCACAGGTTTTCAGAGTTAGTGAGTAATAAAGAAAAACCAATCACTTAAGAAAACAGAGAAAGCCAGACCTAGAACTCTAAAACAAAACGCTGGAAAGTTCAAGGGAAAGCGAAAATGAAATCTTCACAGTAATATTACACTTTGAACACGACATCAAACCTTAGGGTTGAGGATTTTCTTTTGGACTTTTTTCTTGTTTAAATAGATGCCTTTTAAATAAAATGCTTTTTATCTGCTGCCAAAAGCAGAAATAAATATCCAAAGGAGATGTTTATCGAAGTTTGCTCTTCTACAAATCTCTACCCAAAGTGACCTTGTCCGCTTCTTCCGTGCACACTGGGGATGGTGGCAGAGGAGCCGTGAGACTGGGGAGGGGCTGGCTGATGAAGGCCGTGGTGCCAGTGGGTCCTGCCACCCCCGGGCCGTCGGGCTCAGAGACCAGGAGCCCAGCCTCCTCCCCGCGGCGGTCGCCTTGGTCATCTGGGTTCGCTGGGGTGTCTCCAGCAGTCCCAGCCTGCTCTCCGAGAGGTGAGGGTCAAACAGGAATTCAAATGGAGCAAAAGAGCGCAGGGACCAGTGGTTGAGACGGTTATTGGGGGCCGTGGAGAACTTCGGATGCTCCCGACGTGTCCTTCAGCCAGCTGCACCGGGTCCCTACCAGCAGGGCCACACGCACAGAGGGAGGGGCCGGGCACTGCCTCAGCGCTCGCTGGGGCCCACTGGCTCTGGGAGCGCAGCCTCCTCGCCCAGGGTCACTGTGTCCACTGTGTGCGTTGGGGGGATGCCGGTGAGGGTGCGGAGGCTGTGGGGGTCGACAGGCGGGACGAGGGTCAGCGACTCCACGCTCAGCGTGTCGGCAGTGTCCTCACAGAGCAGGGAGATGGTGGGCTGCTGGGTGGGGATGAGGCTGGGGGACAGGTTGACTGTCTCCACGTCTCCACTCCTGGCCAGGCTCTTGCTGGGCCTGGTGTCTGCTTCCGTTTCATTGACGATCACCAACTGGTCGGGAAGGTTAGGCTGAGGCTCTTCGGCGGTCATGGGGTCATCTGGGCGGGGGAGAGAAAAGAAAGGTACGCTCAGCTCTGATGTACTCTGCTCACACTGGCACCCTCTGCGCCCGTCCTGAACAAAAGCCCAGGGGAATCTGGATGGGAGACGGTGGTGCTGGGGGAACAGCTTGTCTCCACTTCCTCCTTCTGGGGACACAGAACCTGGCAGATCCAGTCTTACCCAGGCCTGGGGGAGAATCTCTCAGGGCTGGGGGTTACCCTGACTTGTGATGCAAGGGAAAAACCAGGGGCTTGTGCAAAATCAATGAGTGGATTAGAAGCCCAGTTCCCGGGTGCTGGGAACCGGGCCGGCAAGCTCCACATGGAAGCGAGTCTTGGACCACCTGTCTGATGATAAATACGGGTTTAGGGAGGAAATGGGCTTGGGTGGGCTCATGACTTGAGGCCATTTCCAGAATCTACATTTACCCAAGAGGGAACTCAAAAAAAAATGGAAAAAAAGGAATTCTATGGAAATTTTCAGCTTGCAAAGCCAAAACCAAACCTCTGACCATGGTCTGTCTCCTGCTGCTTCTCTTAGTGCTGAGTTAGCACCCAGAAAGGGGCTGAGATCATGGGGGCCATTCCTGTCCCGAGGTCCCCAAGAGGCCACGGAGAGAACCACGTCAGGAGGACGGCCAGGGAGGCTGCACCCCACGTGGTTATTTTTGGAGTGGCATTTCTTTTTTTGGTGCTTCTCAAAATCCTTGATTAGATTACAAATGGCCTATTTGCTTTCCAATGACGAGTTTGCCTGGACTTAGAAACACCAGCTGTGACTGGGGTTCACTGTGGAAACGTCTCCAGGACTTCACGTGCCAGTATTTTGAAAACAGTGAAGAAGAAGGCTATGGGCATCCTGCTTGGAAAGCAAATTCTTATTTGTCCACATCTGGGGCCGACAAGCTGTCGGCAGAAGGTGCTGACAGCGCCGTGTTGGGCTACGAGTGTGACAACACTCTGGCAATGACGGTAGACTTTTTTTTGTTTAACATGATTCCATTGAAGTTAGTTGCTGTTTTTTCTTTTAAATTAAGCCAAAACAAAACAGAGCTGCAAACGGAACACAGAGCAAAAAAATGGAAAAGCCAAGAGCAAAATAAAACCAAAGGGCACAGAGAATGGGATGAAGGAGAGGAAGTGGGTCCCCATCATGGAAAGAGAGCACGAGCAAGAGACTGTCTCCCAAAGGTCATGTCGGCATTCTTCCCCAAGACCCCGGGCAAGACGAGCTCTCAAAGTCCCAGTTAACTTCTTTCATAAGGCCTTTTTTTTTTTTTTTTTTTGAGAGAAATAAGGCCCAGAGAAAACCACTGCGTGGGGCTTTGGGTCTGTCCTCGCTCTGGGAGGGTGGCAGTGGGGCACCGGCGAGCCCTAGTGGAAAAAGTGACTCGAGGTGTGATCTGAGGCCAGAAATGCTGAGTAAACACTCCACGCGAATTCTGGTTTCTCTGAATTTCAACGAATTTGCTCCATTCAGTAAGGACGCCTCGTGGTGATGGGCGGGTGGTTCATGTTCTGAGCCAGCACAGTGTGCCTGTTGTTCATAGAACATGTGGCTCTCTGGGAGGGGGGCTCACCCGCTCCGTGGCCTCCACCTCGCCTCAGAGGAGCGTGAGCACGTCTCCGAACTTACGTACACATGGATCCACACGTAAGTTTCGCTGCTGACTTGGCAGTTTAGAAATGACTCATGCTTCAAATGGCACTTCTGTGCCATCTGGAGACGGGGCTGCAAGACATTTCCTTCGAGTTTTCTCAAAACCAAGAGTTCCCTCTTCGCTCAAGGCTGCATTTGCATGCAGATATTCCAAAAACATTCCAAAAAGCTGGCACACCTCCTTCCCTGATCCCTAGTGGGGTCTTTGGAGATGAAAACAATCGAGGACATGGGAAAGTTGCCATCAAATATGTTAAAAAGCAAACATACCAGCAAACAATACCACACACACAAACTGGTTTCTTCTTTAGGAAAAGAACCATCAATTTTATTAAAAGGGTCATTTTTTTCCCTTAAAAATAGTCTCTTTTATTTTTTAGGGGAAGACATAACCTCCTTTTGCCCATCACCCACAACACTGTCTTACTTTTTTTAAAAATTAAGAACTGCTTCCTGAATGTGATCTACAAATTTATCCATTCAACACGGGGGAAAAAAAAGGAGAACTCCGCCAGGTTTTCACCGGGGGAAAATTACCCAGCGAGGACACATTTTTGGTCAAGTGTCAAGCGGCAAAGGTTACTGCTGAGCCTCTGGCTTCCCTTGCCTGCTGGTGTTTTTCAGCTCTAAGGCCACAAGCTGGGGCTTGGCCCAGGAAATGAGGGATTTGGAGAACACTCTGGCTTTCTGGCCAGAGGCTGGGGAGATGAGTGGAGGCTGGAGGGGGAAATCCTGGACATCCAGGTCTCCGTGGCTCTGCCCTGAGCTGACACAGAGGCAGCGGCCCCCACGTCCCTAGCTGGCACCCTCAGAGGCTGATCTGTGGGTTGGGGCAGGGGCTTGGCTGAACCTGGTGAGTGAGCGACAGTTTCTAGAAAAAACGTGGATTTGGCGTGCTCAGGCTGGGAGAGGCGGGACTGAGTGACGTGACACAGGGAAGAAAAGGACAGCGCAGCACAGCAAGTCGCAGGGCAAAAGCGCAGAGGAAACAGCTTGTAAACGCAAAAGAAGGCAAACGGCTCCTGACTGGCAAGTGCACCCACCGGGCGGCAGGGCGCGCGTGGGAAACCCTAAAAGAAGCGTCGCTGGAGAAGGCAGCAGCGGCAGGCCCACACAGCGTGCGGCCGCGGGTCAGCGGCCCACAGACCGACCTCGTGGCTATCTGGAGCACTCAGCGTAAGAAAGGGACCTGAAGGAGTCACATCCTTCGGTGTGTCGATAAGTGAAACTACTTTTTGGCCTCTGGCTGAACAGTGACCGAATCTACCACTCAGCTTTGAGCAAGGCCAGGGGTAAAAGGGAAAAGAAAATAAGAAACGAGTTAACTTCTTGGTTGGCTTTTTGCAAATTCTACTGCCCAACCCTTGTGGCCTAAACTGGGGGGCTCTGCAGGGGCTAGGCTGGAGAAGCCCCTCTAGCTCAGGGCCTGCGCCCCATGGTAGTTCCAGGGGAAGGACAGCGCTTCCAGGCTGCCCGAGTCTGGTGGGGAAGAACTGACACGAGGGTAGAGGATCAGGGGGATTCGGTCCTCAGATGGGAAGAGGCCAGAAAGGGGATGGGAGAGCAGGCTTCGGGGAAGCTGGGGAGGTGCCAACTTGGAGAGCGGCTCTGGGTGGGCAGCGCAGGCTCCCTGTGCCCACGGCCCGCGTCCCGGGAGGCCCAACTTGCTGTGCAGAGCCTGCTGACTGCGGGAATGCAGCGTGGAGGGGCGGTGTGGCCATGGAGGCTAATGGCGGAGACCTGCCTGAATTGACTGTGCGAGAGACGCCGTGACAGCTGCCGTTCGAAGCACTAAACCCAGTGGCCGCCGTGACTGTCGGCCTCCGACAGGCTGAACACTCGCCGGCGTCCTTTCCTGCCACTCCTGACTAGAGGGAAACACAGCGACAGATCATAGAAAGCCTTTAACAATGGTACAGAGAAAGGTGACACGGAGAGGCGACACAGCAGCGACGGACACTAAGCATCGATGAGAGCGTGAGGGGAGCGGGGAACCGTGACAGCTGGGGCTTGGGGTACAGCCCCTCATGCAGGTGAGATACCCCCACTCCACGCCCCAGGACAATGCAGGGTCGGGACAGCTAAGAACCACATCGTTTGCTCGTGGGACTCAGTTGGGGTAAAGGCAGCGAAGGTTCCATCCTGTCGGAAAGGAGAGATTTGGCGTCATCAGCAACATCTGGTCTCGGTGAGGAACCTCAGGGGCAGAAGAACAAAGTTGTCTGTCGGTTTTAGATGCGAACCAGCAATGACGATGAGAACCCTGCATCCCCGGGACCATCTGAGGAGGGAAGGGTGTGTGGTTGGAGGGTCGGAGCCAAACCAGCCAATGACACAAGCAGATTTCTGACCCCAACTGACAAGGCTGATGGGGCTCAGTGTCACCACGCTAAAGCCAGCAGCACGGCTCTGCAAGGTCTGGGTTCTGGAAGACCCCTCCCCAGCCACAAGGCAACGCTCTCCAGGCAATGCTCTGGGCATCCGCACCTCTGAAGACCAAGACTGAACCACAGGAGGAAGATCTGAGACCAGGTGCCCAGCAGCCAAGGGGTGGATTCTAATCGGCTGAAACAGAAGGGTTAGGAGCATCTCACTGGGAAGGAAGGAACCACAATCCCTGAGACAAACTTGGGATTAGAGCAAAGCTTAAAATTCATGCCACAGAACACAAGAAGGTGAATGTACCTAATGCCACTGAACTATAGGCTTAAATATGGTTAAAATGGTACCTTTTATGTTATGTATATTTAACTACAATAAAGAAAAAGTAATGCCATGGAGAAAGCTGGGGAGAAAAGGTAACACATCCTACTGGGGGTTTCTGTCCTTAAAAGTCCCACTCACGGTGGTGACTGAGTTCAGTGACATGCGGGTCAGTCTCGGGCTGTCCAGCTTGCAGTGGCCCACATGGAGCCATGTGCAGGGGTGACGGTTGTACGTTCAGACAACTGGCTCAGGGAGTGGGTGAGGACGGGGAGGGAGGCCCAGCAGAGCACAGCCCTGGCCCTGTCAGGCTCCCAATCCTGGGCCACCAGGAGCCAAACTCGTCCTTCTGTCTGTAAACCCTCGGGGAAGAGTCAGAGTGGCCACGACCCATAATTCCATGGGCCTGGGAAGTGGGCAGTGGAAAAGGCAGGCTGGATTTCACTCTGACTTCATTTTTTAGCACATGATTTTTCGTCCTGCTCCTCAGAGCAGCTCCCCCAGAACATGTGTGAAACGTGCAGGCGTGGACGGAGGCCGGAGGCACAGGAGGCTGTTTAAGGAACTCGGTGTGGGTCATCGAGCTCTCATCTGAGGAGACGCTCTTCTTACCAGAATCCCATGTAGAGCATGT